GCTCCACCCCGGGAAGCGCGGGGTCGCCCCGGATCTGCCCAGGATCTGCCCAGGGTGCCTTTGCGCCCGGGGCGAGGGTGGCCGTGCAGAGCTCAGAATCGAACCGGTGCAGAGGCCCACGCCAAGAAGCACCCTGCTTGCATGAAGTCGGGACGATTGCTTTCGTTATGTTTGGTTCTTTTGCGGCATTTTGTTGGTTAGGTCAAAGGAACTGTTCGTCGGAAGTGCGCATGTAGGGGGACATGCCCGACCTGATCCTCGCCTCCAGGGTGCCCTGGGTTGCCTGGGCTTCGGTGGTTTCGCCATGGAGAGCGCGGCGCTCCCACGCCACAGATCCATGGACGTCCTGGGGCCTCAGGGTGTGGCTTCTCGTGGAAGGTTCCCTGTGAACGGGCCTCCGCTGTTGGGCGGATTGGCGATGGCCATGCACAGGATCGGCGGGAATCGGCGGCGGAGTCGCGAGCAGTCGAGCCGGCGGACAGCGGCAGGCCTGCAGGCCTCCGTGGAGAAACCAGGCCCGTCCCTCTACACCTTAGGCGATGCTTGAGAAAACCTAAGTTTTCGGCCAGAGCCTCGATTATTCTTAACGTTTCAATGTAAATCCTAAGATTTGAATGGTAATTTTGGGTTTTTATTCAAGTTCTGAGACTATGAATTTCTTAACCCATGATTTCTCAAGCATTTCGCAGGGTGCACAGGGGGAAGATTCAAAAATACAGTCGGGGCCCTGAAGAAGGAACCCTTTTCGTTGGGGAGGGGCTCCGTGTTCCTTATTTGTTTCGCAGCTTGCCTTGGATTTGCCCTAGGTTTCCGATGCGAAATCGAAGTTCAACTTATGGAAAATAGGGGCCTCGTTCCTTATTTAGGGTTCCTTAGGTCAACGCCCCGATTGTAGTCAAAAAATAGTCGGGCGACTATTCTTCGAGTATTTGTTTGAACATTTTGGATGATTTCTTTCATTTTATGTATTTGTCATCGAAAACTCCCCTGGCGGGGGACACGCCCGACTGAAGTCGAGTCAGCATCGGGAATCGCCCAAGTCGCATCGGATCGCACTGGAGGGGTCTCAGGAGGGCAACAAGGCCTGCAGATACATGGAACCGTCGATTCGCAGGAAGAGGTGGGAAGGTATGGGAAGTGGGGTGGGGGGGAAACGAACACGTAGAACAGGTTGGAAAAACCTTGGAGAGGGTCAGGAGCGAAAGAAGGACGTACACGTACATGAGTCCACGCTGGTTTCGAGAGTACGCATTGCGCACATGTTCGTATCACGCGGCCAGTTCCGCGGATCGAGGGGCCGTGCTCATGTTCATAGCTGGGCGCGTACGTTTTTTCGGGGCTCCCTAAAGGGGGAGGGACCGAGCACCAGGAAGATCCTTGGACGTGCGTCCTTCTATCGCGGCCGCACCTCGGCCGGCAGCGAAGGGGGACGGGGCGAGGGGGCATTCGGGCATGCCCCTCTACAGGAGGTGTGCTCGAAGACCGTCCGAAAAAACATCTGGGAAGGTTTTTTTTGTTGTGTTATTGAAACACATGCATCTCATGTTTGATCATTTTGCTACAGGTGCGACTTGAGAAGTTTTGGGCATTTCCCTTTTATTTTGACAATGTGACCACTTTTCCCCTTTGACAGTGTTTGACCACCTCTTGTTTTGTTTTGATTTCTTTCTTCCTAAATCCGCCCGTATGGGGCCGTGCCCGACCTGAGGCGAGGGGAGCCGGGCCCTCCTGGAGGGGCGGCGCGCCCCATTCTCTTTGCCCAGGGGGCCCTCGACCCTCTGGAGGGGGGGGGGGCGCCCCTCGCGGGGGGCCTGCTCGGGGGGCCGCTGCTCCACCACCACTGCCACAGGTCGGAGGGGTGGGAGGAGAGGAGGAGGAGGAGACGGAGACGGAGGAGGAGGAGGAGGCGGAGGAGGAGGAGGAGGAAGCGGAGGAGGAGGAGGAGGAGGAGAAGGGAAAGGAGATGGTGGAGCAGGAGGAGAAGAAGGAGGAGGAGGAGGAGGAGGAGGAGGAAGAGGAGGACGAGGAGGAGGAGGAGGAGGTGAGGAGGAGGAGGAGGAGGAGGCGGAGAGGGGAGGAGGAGGAAGAGGGGAGGAGGGGAAGGGAGGGAGGGGAAGGATGCGGAGACGGAGGGAAAGGGAGATGGTGAGGAGGAGTGTAGGAGAAGGAGGAGGACGAGGGGAAGGAGGAGGAGGAGGAGGAGGAGAAAAGGGAGAGCTGGAGCTGGAGTGGAAGGAGGAGGAGGAGGAGGAGGAGGAGGAGGCTTGGAGGAGGAGGAGGAGGAGGAGGGCGGAGGAGGAGAAGGAGGAGGCGGAGGAGGAGGAGGAGGAGGAGGGGAGGAAGGATGACGAGGGGGAGGAGGGGAATGGGAGGGAGGGGAAGGATGCGGAGAAGAAGGGAAAGGAGATGGTGGAGGAGGAGGAGGAGGAGGAGAAGAAGGAGGAGGAGGAGGAGGAGGAGAATGGGAAGGAGGAGGAGGAGGAGCAGGAGCAGGAGGAGGCGGCGGAGAATAAGGAGGACCTCCCCGTCCTCCCTTTCCCCCCCGTCTGACCAATGGTGGTGGTGGAAAGTTGGCACAGCACTCCTCCAGTCTGTTCTGCGCCCAACCAGGATCATTTCGACCCCCCCACACTCGATTGAACTTGACTTCGATGGCCTCCGATTCCGATTCGATTCGACTTCGGGTTCCTCGTCGGAATCCGGTGCTTCAGTGGGGGCCTGGCCTGCATATGTCCGCCGATTCGACTTCTCCCGACCTGGCTGCCGAATTCTGCCAATCCGAATCATTTCGATCATCGATCTGGCTTGTCGGTTCGAGTCTCTGCTGTCCTGCCCCTGCGGTTCCAGTCGGTGTTGGGCATGGAAAACCCCGCCGGGGTTCGCGTGGCCGCAGGCTTCGTTCAAGCTCTCGCCCCAGGCCGGTTTTCCAGAGATCTGGACGTCGACTGCAGGGTTGTGATTGCTTGAGTAGGGCGTGGGGGTCAGGTCTGCAGAACACCCCAAACGGACGTCAAGGGGCAATATGGTCGGTGAAGGCGAAACTGATGCAGCACACCCAGCGTCAAGCCAAAACTTTGGGCATGTTGCGAAGCGAATGGTTGGTTGGATGTTACACATCTTTGTCGGCTGAGTCGGCGAGGCGTTTGACCACCTTTTTTGGCTGTCCTGCAGAGGAAGTCGCTCGCTGATCCTCGGCCCCACTCAAGTCATTGCCTGAGTTTCGTGAAATCTGCGTGACACGAATAGATTGCAATCGATTGGCACACAAAGCTCGCAGCACACAGCTAACATCACACAGGTCACACCTCACAGACCACGCTACAGAGCGCACTTGTCCGCAGTAATATCTCACCGCGTCGCGCCCACGCTGGCAAACATTTGAATCGAACGATCCCAACCTGTCGGGCGGGTGAGGACATATTCCGGTGAGCGTCGGGCACCGCCCACACATACTTACGGTCGGTTTGCGTCGTGCCGATTCGCGGCGACCCCGCCTCGGGTGTTCAAGGTTGAACGCCGCCGGCGACCCAGAATCGGGCGATGTTGAACGATCCTGGCGTTGTGGGAGCGGCCGATCGTTCAAGGTTGAGCTGATGATGATGATGATGCTGATGATGATGATGATGATGATGATGATGATGATGATGATGATGATGCTTACTCTCGCAACGCTAGGTCGAGCGAGCCCCGCGATGTCGGGAACCAGCGCCGGGGTCGACACGACATGAGCCTGCCGTGTGCAGTGTGCGTGTCGTCCCCCGCCGGCGGGCGAGGCGCGCGCCCCGAGACCGTAGGGTGCGACGGGCCCCCGGCGGGCGCTCTCTGGCCATACAGCGGAGGCCCACGCCAAGAAACACCCTGCTTGCCTTATGTGGGGACGACTGTTTTGATTATTGCTGGGCATTTTTTGGCTACGTTTCATTACTCCAGATTTCGTAATAAAATGGAGGGGGTCTGGACCCTCCAAGACAAGCCATTTCAGACCTCCCCCGTGGGAGAACCCTCCAAAACATCGTCCCCAGACCCCCCCAGGCCCTCCAAGATAGCGTGGAAGAGACCCCCCCCGAAATGAGACCCCCCTCCCTTTATTACGAAATCTGGAGTAGCCGTTCGTCAAGAGTGCGCCTGTAGGGGGACATGCCCGCCCTAACGCTTGCCTCCAGGGAACCTCGGGTTTCTTGGGTCTCGATGCCGTGACGCTCCCACACCAAACATCCATGGACGTCCTGGGGTCTCAGGGCCGGGTTCCTCGTGGGAAGGTTGCTTTGTGCACTGGCCTCCGCTGTACGGCCCGACAAACGAGATGCTACAAGAGGTGTGCACAATGCTTGTGTCGGACGCGCGCCCCGCACAGACGCACAGACGCACGTCGTGTTGGCACGACCTTCCCAAGCAGTGGCGGAGTGTCCTGGCTTGCTTGGTCACCGTTTTTTTTTAGTCGGCGGTGACCTGGATTATCCTGGGGGGGGAGGAGGGGGCCGGCCGATCACCTAACCTTCGCGCTGTGGGCAGCCCTGCAAATGCCCGCGTCCCCCCACCCCGGACCTGCACAACCGGCCAGGTTGGGTTTTCCTGGGGGGGGGGCAGGGGGCAAGCCCGATAGCCCGGGTCATCGCCGGACCCTACAGAGAAACATGCTCTTGCACGCCCACCGAAGAGAGTTCCCGGAGCTTTTTGGGTGTTTTTGTACGACGTGCTCTCGGGAGACACTTCTGGCAAACCGGTCGGTCCATGCTCCACCGCAGGGGCCGGGTTCGAGGCCAGGGGCGGGCAAGCTGGGACATATACATTACCAGTGGCGGGTTGTTTCTCAATCCCACGACTCTTTACGGGTCAGGGACGACGTCGGGGTGGTGTGGTGTATATTTTTCTCCGTTTTCCGAAGGGAAACGACGAAGCATGCATACACCAGGATCCGGTATACACCAGAATCCGCGTTCCCGTGCGAATTTCAGCGTGGGGTCGGGAAAGGTGTCGGTGTATAGAGTTCGTTGCCCTAGGTACGAGACCGAGTACAGCCGGGGCACCGCGCCCATGGCGGTGACCGTCTTTTCCGCGAGCAACTACCCGGGGGGCGCGGGCGAGCACCTCCAGGAGCGGGCTGGCGCAAGCTTTCAGACGGGCGTGTCCCTCTACAGGGGGAACGTTCAAACATAGTTGTTTGAACTGTTTGATATCCTTTCTGACTATTGTTTTACAATGTTTGACAACGTGCCCCCTCGTCCTCCTCCTCTGGCTCCTCCCCTTCCTTCCCTGCTCTCCTTCGCCTCCTCCGCCATGCCAGGGATGCCTTCGCACTCGCGATGCCGCTTTCAGGAGGCACGATGTTTTGAAAATCCGCCTGGGGATGATTTGTTGATCATTGTTTGGCTATCCTTGGGCATTTTTCGACTATTTGTAATTTGTCCTCCAAGTTCCGCCTGTGGGGGGACACGCCCGACCTGAGACTGGATTGTTTATGGGGGTGGCCTCTGCACCGGTCGGGAAAGAGGGCGTCCCGGGCTGGAGCGCCAGGCGGTATTGGTCCGAGGAGGAGAAGGTTCATGGCGCCAAAATCGCAGAGCGAATTCCGGTCGGACAGCGATAGGATGGGCCCGGAGTGTCCTGGAGAGTATCGTTCCGAATTTCGAGGTGAATTTATTATTTTTTTTTGTATTTGGCCAGGGATGAAGACCAACAGAAATCCTCACGACATTCACTTCGTTTTCCACGCGCCGCTTCGGGCAGAACTCCACGCAGAACTCCTCTGCAGCACGTCTGCAAGGCCAGTGCAATGACATGCTCTCGGGCTGGATTGCTGGTGGGGGTGGCCTCTGAGCCGCTCGGGCCAGAGGGCGGCCGGGGCTGGAACGCCAGGCGGCACTGGTCCAAGGAGGAGAAGGTGGTTCCGATGCTAAAGTTAAGTCGGGCGTGTCCCCTTACAGGGAGAATATTCAAAAATAGTAAGAGAATTGTCTGGGGACGATTTCCTTATCAGTTCTGATTTTGGTTGGGGCATTTTCGACTTTGTTTTCGTCCAGAATCCGCCTGTAGGGGGACACGCCCGACCTAACATTGGTCCGAGGAGGAGAAGGTGGTTCCGATGCTAAAACCCCCTGCCTCGTTTTCGCCTTCCCAGGCCTCCTGGGAGGCCCCATCGCCTCGACAACCTGGTCAGGACGAGCCCTACGACCGGTACCCTAAATGGGGATGGTTTTCTGACCGCGCGGGCTAGACCCAGGCTTCCTCTCGTTTGGGAAAAGCTGCGACGGAGGATTCTGGGTCAGCTTCGGCCTCGCGGGGCCGTCAAGAACAGACTCGGGACGAAGACCGACCGCTCCTGGCGAGCGGGCTCCGTCCCCTGGGACCCCACGCCATGAAGCGATGTCGGCTGTCTGGGGAGGGCGGCTGTGGATGTTCGGAAGTCCGCGTGGGGCAGATGTCCTGGTTCTCCCCCCAGTTCGCGATTCATCATCGTCATTCTTCCTGTTTTTCCTTTGGGTTCCATCCTCCTTGCGGGCGCGTTCACGCGCGCACACGCGCGCGCACGCCAACGGACGCGCGCGCACGCGTACGCACCCGCGCACACCCATTCGCTTGCTCCACGCACACACACACACACATACACGCGGCGCTACGACACAGTGGCGCGGCGTGAAAGCAACCGACCCGTTTGAGACCGAAGCGTGAGTATATTGTTCGCAACCGTCGGTATTTTGTCAGGAAAGACGTTCCAGTAGCTCATGCCAGAAAGACGCGGTCGGGCATCCAACTTGTACGATGGAGCCCGTTCCAACAGCCCACGGCGTGCGTTCTTGCATTCAACTTGTACGAACAAACACAACGTTCCAGCAGCCCACGGCGGGCGCTGCAGCAACAGCTTCTTACGAGGCGCAACGCTTCAGCAGCCAACGTCGTGCGCTCCAGCATCAAGCTTTTACCGAACGCGAGCGATTCAGCAGCCCACGGCGTGCGCTCTGGTACTTAGTGCTTACGAGGGGCAACGTTCCAGCAACCCACAGCGGGCGTTCAAGCAACACTCTTCTAACGAGGCGCAACGCTTCGGCAGCCAACGGCGTGCGTTCCAACACGTTTTAACAGGGGCAATGTTTTAGCAGCCCGCGGCGTGCGTTCCAGCACCGATCTTTTACCGAACACGAGCGTTTCGGCAGCTCACGTCGTGCCGTCCAGCACTGCATGTGCAAAACGCGCGGGCGTTCCAGCCAACGGCGTGGGTTCCAGCACTGCGTTTTCACCGAGCGTGGGTGTTCCAGCAGCCCACGACGTGCGTTCCATCACTGCGCTTTTACAGGGCGCCAGAGTTCCAGCAGCCCATGGCGTGCGCTACAACAGTCTGTTCCTACCGAGCGCGAGCAGTTCAGCAGCCCACGGCGTGCGGTCCAGCAGTGCATGTTTACCGAGCGCGGGCGTTCCAGCAGCCCACGGCGTGGTTTCCAGCACTGCGCTTTTGCACAGCACGAGCGTTCCAGCAGCCCACGGCGCCCACGGCGTGGGCTCCAGTTATGCGGTTGATGCCAGGCGTAGGTGTTCGAACCTCGGCCTCAGCCAGCGTAGGCGAACCCACCTGGTCAACGTCGCAGTAGCACCATACTCCACAGACAATGCGTACTGGCGCGATCCGTGTGACGTGTGCGCCGAAGTGGGCGGGGGGGCGCACGCGACCCTCGCATTGGGGCAGTAGGTGGAGCTTCCTGTGGAGCACGGACCGTGTGAGGAGGTGCGCCGAAATGGGCGAGGGGACACTTGCGCACCCCCCGACTGGGGCCCCAGCTGGAGCTCCCCATGTGGCGCGAACCGCGTGAGGGTGCTCGAGGTGTCGGGTGCGGGCGCAGCTGGGTCCTGCGGTCACGAGGCGTCTTTCTGTCGTCCTCCAGCGTGCCCCAGCTGCCGGCTGCCTGCCCGCCGCAGGAGAGTCGCTGTTGGAGCCCTTCGCGGAGCGGGCAGCTGGCTGCCAGCGATCGCCTCGGGCGGTCGGCCAGCGCACGCCAGGAGGGGCAGGAGGCCACTGCTCGACCTTTTGACGGATGTCGCTGCCTCGGGGGGTCTGGGACGAAGAATGGACGGGTTTTTGCACTTAGGCAGCACCCCCGTTTTTGTTTTCATACGAGGGCCCATCGCACTCGCCAGTCCAACTATCACCCCATCTTCCTTAGAAATCGAGGGGGAAGCATGGGTGGACTATCTTGTCTGGACGAGATGGTGGGAGAGGGTGAAGCTTCAGCACACGGGGCCAGGAGCAGGACCTCATGCGCGTCAAACTCGATTCGTCACCTCTGTGCAGAAACTGCATCCCCCTCCTCATCCCTCTCCTCCCCCTGCGTAGTATTTGTTTTTTGTTTAATTATAATGTTTGACCATTCCTATATTTAACCATGTGCGGCCCCGTCCTTGTCTGTAGACTCGATTCTGGGGATCGCGCCAGAGCGCGAGCGACGGCGACCGAACGCCTCCTCCGCCACCGCGCGACGATCATTCCGAGGTCAGGTCGTATGCCGAATTCTTGGCGGCATCGTGCGCCCCTCATCCTCCATCATTTTCTCACCAGCCTCGAACTTATCCCTATGCCTAAGATTGACACGCCCAAAGGCGACAACAATCTTGGGGATGCGCCCTCCGAAACGAAGGGAACCCTGAAGATCGGCATCGTGATGAGGCGATGCCCAGCATGGGGATAGGGATATGTTCCACGCTGGTGATCCTCCTGCTCCCGTTACTCCAGATTTCGTAATAAAAGGGAGGGGGTCTCATTTCGGGGGGGGGTCTCTTCCAGGCTATCTTGGAGGGCCTGGGGGGATCTGGGGCGTGGTTGGAGGTTCTGCGTCTGCGCTTGTTTGAGAGTAACCAAGCACGGTGTGTGCGGTTTTACCGTGACGTGTTCGAAAGTCCCTCCGGGTGGCGCCGTCACCGCCTTCGGCCGCTGTCCTCTCCGGCCCCCCGCCCTTGCCCCCCCCCCCCCGCCCCGCCATCCCCGAAGCGGGGCCAGAGGAGCAGGATGAGGGGTCAGGAGAGGAGCGGCTCAGGAGGAGCGGCCCTTGATGACTGCCCTTCTTTCGTTCTCCTCCTCCCGCTCCTCCTCCGTCTTCCTCCCTCTTCCTCCGTCCCCTGGGGGACGCCCCAGGCAGGCCCTTGCTAAGTGCAAGGGCCCCGCATACATATCTTTCGCAGAGGCGAATTCTTGCGCATACCCGCCTCCGATGCGCTTGTCCTCATCCCTATCCCTCTTCCTCGCCCTCCCTCCCCCTCCCCCCACTGAGAACGAGAGACTAGCACACAATGCGGCAGATGGCGCAAGACGTGATGGAAGAGATGGGCATCCGAATCCATGCGACGAGGGATCCTTGATGAGTGCTGAGAGGGCTAGGTTTTCAGCGAACCCGCCTTCTTAGGGCGCGTCACCGTCAATCATCACCATTATCATCACCATCATCATCATCATCATCATCACCATCACCATCACCATCACCATCACCATCACCATCACCATCACCATCACCATCATCACTATTATCACCATCACCATCGTCATCATTATCATCATCATTATCATCATCATTATCATCATCATCATCATCATCATCATCATCATCATCATCATCATCATCATCATCATCATCATCATCATCCATCGTCATTTCCACCAGCATCATCGCAATCCATCACCATCACCCTCATCATCATCGTCGTCAGCGGCATCATCATCATCATCATCATCATCATCATCATCATCATCATCATCATCATCATCATCACCATTATCATCATAATCGTCGTCATCATCATCATTATCATCATCACCATCCTCATCACCATCCGCATCGTCGTCAGTATCATCATCAGCAGCAGCAACATCATCATCATCATCAGCAACATCATCATCACCATCAGCAGCAGCAACATCACCATCATCAGCAACATCATCATCACCATCAGCAGCAGCAACATTCTTATCGTCCCCTCCCCCCATCATTCCTCGCCCTCTCTCCCCCGAATCGGCGGCCCGAGTTTCCGCCACGTTCGCTGGACAGCGTCTCGCCGCGGACTGCCTGCTGGCTCAGTTTCGCAATCCGGCCTTGGTCAGGAACATTTGTCGGCATGTCCTCGTTGCTTTACGGGAGGTGTTATGCTTCGGGTGGTGAAGCAAAAACAGGAAAACGCCCTCGCCCCCTCCTCCCCCCACTCGGAGGCGACGATAGGGGCGAATAGCCCGGGGGCGGGCATGACACGCATTCGCCCGGGAGCCTTTTCGAAGGCATGATCATCGGCGCACCTGAATACATGTATTGCTCTCCTCTCGGCTATTCGCCCCTCTCGTCGCCTCTGGCCCACTTTCCTTTCCTTCCCTCGCCCGCGTCGAGGTTCGCGCGGGGGCGCCGCTCACCGTTTCCTGGAGCCGAGCGGGGGTCGGGGCCCACCGTGCTCGCCGAGGCGTGCGCGAGGAGCTGGCGGGCTCGCTGGACAGGGAGCTGGGCGCGGCGTGCTGGCCTCTGCTGGCGGAGACCTCTTCGTTCTCTCCGCGTGCCAAGGCTCACAGGAGGGGCAGGTGCGGGGTGGTGGTGGTGCAGCGGTGGCATGACGGTCAACGTGTGCTCAACGGCAGTGCGGGGGCGGAGGGGGGGGGGAGCACAATGAGCCCTTGCTTTCAGTCTCCCTCGTCATAGGCTCCTACACGGATTCGGTTCCACTGGAGGAAATGCCCTTTTTGGAAGACAACAGTTTGAAAACCCAGAATTTTGCCAGAACGCCATTTCTGGGGCTTCAGCGCCGCGAGATCATCGTTACTGTTACGTCTTGACGATCCTGAACCGTATTGTAAAACCATTCCAGGGACTTCAACACCGAACCACCCTGCACCCATGAAGCTCTTGCAACCTTTTAATGCGAATATGCGCGGCGCTAACGCGAGAGCCACATGTTGAAAACAAACCGCCCTCCCCTCCACCTGTGATGCTCTTGCAAATTTTGAAGGCAAAGATGCGTGGCGCGAAAGCGAGAGCCACATTTTGAAAACGTGCCGCCTTCCATCCGTGAAGCTGTTGCGAATTTCAAGCTTCAGGGTTATAACTTGTGAGGAGCTCTCAAGCGAAACGCCCGTCCCGCCCTTTCGACCAGCCTCGGCGTGCGAAAGGGAGGGGTTACCTATACGACCATCCTGCGGGTGATAAAGAGGTTGGGGGTGGGGGGGCAGCAATGGGCAACAGTGGTGACTGTCGATCTGCATCTCGATTTGCATGTCGACATATCGATGTGCATGTCGATTCGCTTTTCGATCTGCATCTCGATTTGCATGTCGACTTGCATTGGAAAGCTCGCGGCAGGCGCCGATTTTCTAATTATGCAACCCACGGCGCCTTACGATTTGCATTTGGATGTGTATGTCGATTTGCATTTCGATGTGCTTTTCGATTTGCATGTCGGTTTGCATATAGACTTGCATTGGATAGCTCGCCGCAGCCACGGCGGGACACCAGCGGGACACTAGCGGGACACCGCGGAGCACCGTTTGCCGGGTGGAGAGACTTTTGGTCCGGCCGCGGCCCGGCCACAGGAGGATTTCGGGACACCAGCGGGGGGGCGGGGACACCCGGCCCGGCGGGACACCGGCCGCCGCGGGCCAGCGAACCGCCCTGTAGGAGAAAACATCATTTGTGGTTCTCGGCCCTCCTGCGTTCCGCCGCGGGGCGCGCCGGCGGCGCGCGGGCCCAAAGCCAACAAGCCACCCACAGTTTTTTTTCAACAAGTCCACAGCCACCCCAAAAGCCCCCGCCCCGCCGGCCCAGCCACAGGCAAGGAGGATTCGGGGGGGACACCAGCGGGGGACACCCCGGCGGGACAACCGCGGGGCCACCGGCCGCCGGAGGAGGAGAGAAAAACAATTTGGTTCTTTCTTGGGCCCCCAGCGGGTCTTCCCACAGGAGGACTTCCTCTCCGCCCCCCCCGCCACGCAGCTTCGCCCCTCGCCCGCAGCACGCACGGCACCACCGGCACGACCCGAAACGAAATCGATATTTTTTTCCGAGTAGGGGGGCCCTCCCGTTTCACGTCGGAACTCACCCACCCCCCAAACTCCGATTTTTGAATGTTCCTTTTTTACAAGGAAAAAGGAAAAATAAAAGAGGAGGACAGGAGGCAGGTAGGGGGGGGTTAGGAGGGGGGAGGAAGGAGGGGGGGAGGGGGGAGGGGTGGGCTTTTTTTTTTGGCTCGAGGAGGAGGAGGGAGGGGAGGAAGCCAGGAAGGAAGGGGAAGGAGCGAGGAGGAGGAGGAGGAGGAGGAGGAGGAGAGGACTCCCTCACCGCTCTGGATCTCTTCCAGCCAGCGCCGCGCTTCCTCCTCCTCCTCCTCCTCCTCCTTCTCCTCCTCCTCCTCCTCCTCATTCTCCCATTCTCTACTCTGTGCTCCTCTCCTCCTTTCCCTCCTTCCCCTCGTCCTCCTCCTCTTCTCATCCTCCTTCTCTTGAAGGGGCCTTGCATGGGGGCTCAGCATCAGCACCCTGCGCCGCGTCTTTGGGATCTGGCGAGTCGCGCGCGAATGCCGAGGCACGGGGGCCGCCGCGTTTGAGCAACCTGCGAGTGACCTGCGCAGGGCGCACCTGCTCGAGCAGTGCGGGCCCTCGGGGGCCCTGGCCAGGAAGAGGGCCGCCCCCCGCCTCCTCCGCGGTGCGGCTGGCCCGGGACTGCAGGGCGCACGAGGCCGGGCGCCTCGCGGCCCAGCGCGCGCTGCACCCCCGCGCGGGGAGGTGCGCGCCCTCGCGGCGGCAGGCGGCGGCTGCGGCCTCACGGCTGCGGCCGTCGCCTGCCTCTGGTGGTCCTGGGCGCAGCTGCGGCGGCAGGGCCGCTTCGCGTGCCGCGGCGGCGGCAGGGCGCCGCCGGTGCCGGTGCTGCCGCGCCGCTGCGCCTGGCGGACGGCTCCCGCCTCGCGGCTTGCGCCGGGGGCTGCCCCCGCCACCCAGGGCGCCTCCGCGGGCGCGGGCGGGCGCGGGCTCGAGGCCCGACCTCGGGCTGGGGCGCCCGGGGCTCGGGCTCCCTGGGCTCTGGCGCGCGGGCTCCCTCTCGGGTTCGGGCTCGGGGGCGGGTCTGGGTGTGGGGGGGTTGCCATGGGGGGCGGGTCGGGGGCGGGTCGGGGGCGCGTCGGGGGCGCTGGGGCAGGTCGGGGGGCGCGTCGGAGCCCTGGCGGCTGCCATGGGGGGGGGCGGCGGGACGTCCTCGTGGCGACCACGGTGGCGGGGAGGTCTGGCGGGTGCGGGGGCCTCCGCGCTGCGGGATGCCGTGCCCGGCGCCCTCGGCCCGCGGCCCATGACCCGCCCTGGCTTGCCTCTGGCAGCCAGGCGCGGCCAGCTGAGGGTTTTGTTCGTTCCCCTTCGGTCTGGGTCCCCCCTCCCCCCCCCCTCCTCCCCCTCCCTCTCTTCCTGACTCCCCCCTCCCTCCCCCCTCCACCCACTTCCCCCATCCCCCTCCGCCTCTCTTCCTGACTCCCCCCCACCTCCCCCCTCCCTCCCCTCTTTCCCTAACTCCCCCCTCCTTGCACTCTCTTTCCTAACTCACACCTAGGGGCTGCGGTCGCAGGCCCCGTGCCTCCCCCCTCCCTCTCTTTCCTAACTCCCCCCCGCCCGGCCCCGTCTACCGTTGTGAGGATCCCATTCCGAGAGGGGATCGGGAATCTGGCGAGCATGCAGGAGGGTCTGTACCCATCCCCCGAGGGCCCGCCCAAGATGGTCAGTGAGGCCACCTTGGAGGATCTACAGCTGCTTCAGTTGCCCCCCCCTCTCTATGCCCGGAAGGTGTCCGACTGACCGGGCGCCTGCGCAGGCGCGAGCCCGCCGGCCGGCCTCCTGGCCACGGCGCGCCCCCCCCCACCCCCCCACACCCCCGCCCCAGCGCTTCCTGCTCCTGCTCCCTGCTCCCGCTCCACCCCCGACCTTCCATACAGTCGGGCCGAGGTATAAGATCGAGGTCGGCTCCGGGAGGGTGTGCTCCTCGCGCTTGTTGGGCGCTCCTGTGCATCCTGGGGAGGGCACCCTCGGACGTTCTGGTCCTTTGGGCCGAGGGAGGCTGTCGTGGTCTTTTAAGGGTGTTCGTCTGGCCTGCAGGTCCGACGGTGCAGCCGGCGCTCCCGAGGCGCGGGCGGGCCCAGCCGAGTGGCGGGCACGCCCGCGGCGCCTCCCATGGAGGGCCACGTGCGAACCCTACCCCCCCACCCCCCACGATTTCTGAGGGGGAGGGCGGGGGGTTCACTTCGCTCGGGAGCTCCCGACGAAGTGAACCCCACCCTGCCCCTCAGATCATGGGCCTGTGTTTTCCCCACCACCCCCATAAGTTGGAGGGGGAGGGGGTCCCTCTCCGCCTCCTCCTCCTCCGTCCTCCTCCTTCTCCCCCTCCACTTATGGTGGTGGGGTGGAAACAGGCCCTCATCAGAGATCGTGGTGGGGTGGGGGGCAGGGTTCGCACGTGGCCCCCCCCCGGGCCCCCTCCGCGCCACTCCGCGGCTTCTGCCTCGGTCCGGGCGCGCCGCCCCCCCGCCCCCCCCCCCCCGCCGCCGGCGGGGCCCGCGCGGCGGGAGGGGAAACTCTCCCTGGCTCGCCAGGTCCGGCCTCCGCGGGCCCTCGCTGGGCCCTGGACCGTCCAAGAGACACGAGCAGGTCGGGGGCGGCAAAGAGGGGGGTGATGACTGTGTGTGTGGATTTCATGGCGCGGGCCATGATTTTCCTCAGACGTCATGGCGCATCTCTTCTCACTTCATTGCGTCCCTGGCCCCCCCCCCCCCCTTGGGCCGCGCACGTGCCGCGCCATGTTTGGCACCCCCCCCCTCTTGGACACCCCCCTCTTGGCCGCCCCCGAGCAGGGATGAGACCCAGACCCCCCCGCGCTGTGACAGACATCACCGACGGGCAGCTTTCCGCCACCTTCGGCTTCCGGGGGCCTTCCTATGGGCCCCGCGGTCGTCAGGAAGCAGCGCAGGACGAACAACCAGGGAGGGGGTCCAGACCTCTGGGGGTCGACGCTGCGACACAAATCACGACGTCGGGGGTGTCTGGGCAAGCAGGTCCTCGGGAACGGGTCGTGACCTTTGTGGGGTCCGACGTGAAGAGACGCATGGCGTCGGCGGTCTGGGCCCCGAGACCCTCTTCGGCCGTTGGGCCCGGTGCTCCCGCACGAGCCTGCGGCTCTTCAGGAGCTCGGCCGCCAGGTCTGCCACCCGTCGGTGGTGTACCGCGGGAGCGCGGAGGGTTCGCGGACGCAGCAGGGATCCAAGAGTGCCCATTCTGACTTAGCGGGGGTTCGCCTTCCTGGCCTCGCAGGTTCGGGGCCCTGGGCGGCGGCTGGGATGGAGCAGTGACGTCTGCTGCTCGCCTCCTTCCCCTGGCCCGTGCAGGCGTGCGCTGCCCGCCGGAGGGAGGGCCTTGGATTACGCGTTTGTGGCTGGGCAGCAGCATCGGTGCGAGTGTCTGTAGCCTTGTGGCCCGCAAGGATGAGCGGGTTGTCGGAGGCGGCGTAACATGGCATCTCTGCAGGGCCATCGCCCATATTATAGCCGCCCGTTGCTGCGGCTTTTCCAGACGTGTGCTGGGATAGCCGTGAGCATCAAGTGGTATTTGTTGGTTCGGTGCCAGCATTTCTTGGCGAAACTCATCGGCGTCCGCTCGCCGAATTCGGTGCCGTGTGGGAGAGGTGCTGTCGAGGAGACCAGCGCGTGGCGAGAGCGCAAGCTTAGTGCGACGTTTTTAAGCTTCCTCCCCCCCCGAGGGGCTTGTGATGCAGTGCAGGGATCGCGGGGGCATCGGCTTCACATGCGTGCAAGCCGGTCACTGGTAGCCTGGTTGGTAAGTGGTTATAGCGAAGTTGACATTGTCGCGCCTGGGTGTGGCCACAGATGGCTCCACGGAGGCTTAGCGGTTGGCAGAACCTAGGTCCTGAACCTGGTACATAAACGCATGGTCCTTCCCATGTTTTTTTCCACTCGCACGATTCGGAACCTAAGCTATACATGCTACACGCCCTCTGACGTCCGGCTTCGCGGAGATTGCTAGCATACATCTGGTGGTCGTTCGGTGCACACGCTTGCTACAGATGAAACGCGCTAATGCGTGCCAGCGCCCTGGCTTTCTTCCCCTTGCTCCTTCTTTTTTGGTCCCCCCTGACTCCTAAATGGGCGTGCGCGCAGCACCGTCGAAGAATATTCAGTGACGGTGCTCCTGATTGCCCTTGCCCATCGGACGGAGCCCACGGCGCCGCTACGCCTCATCCGTCAGAGCGGACTGGCTTTGAGGGCCTCCCCTTGGTGCTTGGTGGGGTCCCTCGAAGGGGTCTCTTCCTCTCTCTCTCAAGTGGCCCTGCCCTCACGTCAGCTCGTCTGATGTTGTGTTCCTCTCGATGCGTTCCGTCTCCGCTGCGGTGGCTCTTCTCGGCGAGAAGACTCTCTATGCATCGGGGGGCCCAAATGGTGTGGTGACCACTCCGCGTGGTGAGTCAGTGGAGGATTCGGGGTCACCAACCGCACGGTTTTGGAACTCGGGTCGTTCTCCATGGACTTCTCGGGCGGCTGGGGCCTCCGACTTCCCAAGACCGTGCGGTGACGGACCGCGCGGAGAGGTCGTCGGGGATCCCGAGGTCGCCACGCGGTCCGTCACCACACAGTTCTGGGGCCCGAAATGCAGGACGGCTGGATGCATTTTTGTGCGTATGGACGGCCATTCATGCTCCTGGTCTCGGCGGCGAGCGAAGGGGGAAGTGAGAAGGAGGAGGCCTTCTCAGAAGGCCGGAAGGCTTCTCAAAGCCATTTGGGCTTCTGAGAAGCTTCCTACTTGCCTTCGGGGAATGCTCAGAAGGACCTGCGAGCCTTCTCCGCCTTGCGAGCCTTGTGAAAAGGCCCGCCCCCACTTCCCCTCCAGGCTGGCCGCCAATGGTCGCCAGCGCCTTCCTCCTCCTGCTCCCCCTCCTCCCCCTCCTCCCCTCCTCCTCCTCCTCCCTCCTCCTCCTCCTGCCTCCTCCCCTCCTCATCCTCCTCCTCCTCCTCCTCCTCCCTCCTGCTCCTCCTCCTCCTCCTCTCCTCCTACTTCCTCCTCCTACCTCTTCCCCCTCCTCCCTCCTCTTCCTCCTCCTCCTTTTCCTTTTCTTTTCCTCCTCCTCCTCCTCTTCTCTTCCTCCTCCCCTCCTCCTCCTCCTCCTCCTCCTCCTGCCTTCCTCCTCCTTCCTCCTCCTCCTCCTCCTGCTCTCTTACTTCTCCCCCCTCCTCCTCCTACTCCTCCTCCTCCTGCCTCCCTGTCCTCCTCCTCCTCCTCCTCCTCCTCCTCCTCCTCCTCCCCCTCTCCTCTCCTCCTCCTGCCTCCTCCTCATCCTCCTCCTCCTTTTCCTTTTCTCCTCCCCTCCTCCTCCTCCTTCTCCTCCTCCTCCTCCTTTTCCCCCCCTCCTCCTCCCTTCTCTCCTCCTCCTCCTCCTCCCGCCTCCTCCTTTTCCTTTTCCTCTCACCCTTCGCCTTTTCCTCCTCCTCCTCCTCCTCCTCCCTCCTCCTCCTTCCCCCCTCCTCCCCCTTCTCCTCCTCCTCCTCCTCCTCCTCCTCCTCCTCCTCCTCCTTCTCCTCCTCCTCCTCCTCCTCCTCCTCATCCTTCTCCTCCTCCTCCTCCTCCTCCTCCACCTCCTCCTCCTCCTCCTCCTGCTCTCCCTCCCCGCGACCAGGAGCTCGAGAGCTCGGCCGCCCTGGTACTCCGGCACGGCCTGGACTCGCCCCACGGCCTCTCCAGGCTCGCTCAGGATCGGGGCGACGCAAGGCTCTGGTTCGGCGGGCTTGGGCTTCGAGCTCAGCGGCGAGCGAGGGGGGGGGGGAAGTTTCGGGTTCGATGTTTGAGGTTTTCGGACGTTTTCGTCGAGTCTCGACGGTTTGGGAGCCTCGGCATGCGCTCCAGCGGCTGCGTCTCGGCGACGGCGTCCGGGGGGTGCCGGGATCGTCCCGAACGGCCGCCAGAGACCCGAGTCATGATCCCAAATCATCATCGTCGGAACCATCCCCACCCCCACCGGGGCATGGCAAGTTGGCTCTCCCGGCGTACCCCCTCGAGGTAGGGACGGGGCGCTCCGAATCCCGAAGGAGACGGGGGGGTAGACTGCCCAGCGGGGCCAAGGTTTCCCTGGTGGGGGTGGGGATTGTTTTCTTCGCCCAGAATGACAGAGCCAGAAACTTTCGGCGCTCCGCGCGGATTTCCTCGTTTGGCGCTGGGCCCCCCCTGGTGGCGCCTCCAGGGCCGATCCAGGAAGTCCGCGAGGACCTCCAGAAGTTTATCTTCTTGTTTGTTGTGCTGCTCCTCGAGGGTTGGCCTGACAGAGCCGTCGGGACAATGATTAGACCTAGTCTGAAGTTTGACGCGAGCTGCCGCTGCAGACACTCCATGCAACCTGGAACGTCAAAGCTCGGGACGGGCCGTCAAAAAGCGCTGGCGAGCCCAAGTTCCGGCGAGCTCGAGCCTTAATGATCAGGTGTTGCTAGAAGTGCCCCTGGCCCAAGGTGTCCCCAGGATTTCCCAGGAGGCCCCCCACGAGGCCTAGAGGGCCCCAGTGGCTCCAAAATGGAGCGAAAAGCTAGGGGCACCTTGGGCCAGGGGCTCGTTTTTACCGAAGAAGGAAAAACGGAGCGCGCCAGGGGGGCCAGCGCAGATCCAAGAAATCTGCGCAGAGCGCGCGCTGAACGTTTCTGCTTGTGCCGCTCGGGGCTCCTCTATCGAAGCCCCCCCCCGTGAGGAGCTGAACGACCTGTCGCACGTGCGCGGCTTCGTCGACAAGCAGATGGCCGGCGACATCGACAGGCGCGCCCCCCGCGGCCCCCCCGGCCGGCGGGCGCCCGCGAAGCCTCCGACGTGTCGCCGAGGGCGGCGGCCCCGCCCCATCGCCGCGTGCTTCTGTGCCGAGCGGTGGCGGCGCTGCGGGCCCATCGGCTTCTGGGGCAGCAGTACAGTTCGGCCACGCGCAGAGGGAGGGAAAAAGCCGGAGGAGGAGGAGGAGGGGGAGGAGGAGGAGGAGGAGGAGGAGGAGAAGGAGGAGGAGGAGGAGGAGGGGGAGGAGGAGGAGGAGGAGGAGGAGGAGGAGGAGAGGTTGGGGCGAGGGGAGGGAGAAAGACTGCTCAGAAGCACCCCTGCCCCTTAGACGGCCGGGCCTTGTCTGCAGATGTAGGCCTGAAGCCCTCCCCCCTCCACCAGCCCCCTCTTGTGCGCCGCCAGAATCCAGACGCTCTTCGTCAGGGCAACCCCGGGCTTCTTCGCTTCGCGCGCCGCGCGTTGGCTCCCCGCGGCCGTGGGAGGAGCTGCCGCGCTCAGTGGTGCTCCGGCCCCGCCTCCCCCTGCGTGTGCCTCTCGTGCGTGTATTTTTGTTCAGGGGTGGGCTTCTTGCGGCCGCGTGCGCACGGTGTGCCCACACTGCGCAGGGTTGCTCGCTCGCCCCCCCTCCTGCAGCAGAGTGGGGGGCTGAGCGGTCCTACACCGTCCCTGGGTGCGTGGGCGAAGCGGTCTTCCGTGGCCCGGGTCCTGCTTGTTTGTTGTTCGCTGTTGTGGCTGAGTTTTGATGTCTGAAGACTGTTGACCCCCCCCTCGGTGCCCATTTGTGTTTTTCCAACGAGAGTGCTCCTCCCGGGGCTCGTGCCTCGCTTTCTACAACGGAACGTACGGGAAGTCTTGTGCTTCAGATTGGGCTGCCAGCCCGCGAACAACAACATCAACAACAACAGCAGCAACAACAACAGCAACAGCAACAGCAACAGCAACAGCAGCAACAGGAACAGCAACAGCAGCAACAGCAACAGCAACAGCAACAGCAGCAACACCATCACCAACCACAGCAACATCACCAGCAACAGCAACACATACAAGTACCACTACAACTACACCAACACCAACAACAACCACACCAGCACCAGCAACAACAGCATCACCAACACCAACACCAACAACAACCAAACCACCAACAACACCAACAACAACACCAACACCAACACCAGCACCAATTACAACACCAACATCAACACCAACAACAACAACACCAGTAGCACCACCACCAACAGCAGCACCAAGACCAGCAACAGCACCACTTTTAACAACAGCAACAGCAACAGCAATAACAACACCTACAACAACAACATCAACACCAGCAGCAGCAGCAGCAGCAACAACACTAGCATCACCAACCATTACAAGACTGTTCGCTCTGATTTGCTCGCGTGCCTCAACACGTTTATCCCGAACCCTCGATACCCGTTCTCTTCGTCTTCGATCGTGCCTCCTTAATGGTGCATCCTTCTTACCTGCAGCGCGTATGTTGTGCAGCCCTCAAAGCAGGGGAGGAGAGGACGGATAGAAAGGGGAAGGGAGGAGGATGGAGCACACGAGAGAGTAGCAGGAGGGGGGTTAGGAGCAGCAAGCACGTGGCAGACCCAGACGGGCGGATCGGGCGAGTAGACCACAGCTGGATCTAGGATCTGCTCAATTTTCATACGAGTCCAATTTAACCCCACTAGGAATTCAATGGAAATCCGCTGGATCTGGGATCTGTTTAAGTTTAGTTCGATTGGAATTCAATCCCAATAAGATTATAAGTCAATCCCACTGGGAATCTAATTCGAAACAGCTTGATCTTGGATCTGCTCAATTCTAGTTACCTTTAAACTCGATTCCGGAATCCACTTGGAAACAGCTGGATCGGGGATCTTGCCAATGTTTAGTAGGTGTCATTTGATTCAATCGGAATCACGTGAGAATCAGCTGGATCTGGGATCTGGGATCTGCCAGTTCTGATGAGTTTTTGATTCGGTGCAATCGGAATCTATTTGGCAGCAGCTGAATCTGGGACCTGGTCCATTTAATTGTAATCACCATAATATTCAATCGGGATTCAAGTTTCACCAGCTGGATATGGGTCTTCTCAATTTTTGTTAGAGCATATTAAATGATATTCTATTCCGTTCAAAGTAAGTTTCAAACATAATCCGATTGCGATCCGCTGGATCTGGGGTTTTGTTAATGAGCGATGCTCAGGAGGAGGAGGAGGAGGAGGAGGAGGAGGAGGAGGAGGAGGAGGAGGAGGAGGAGGAGGAGAGGGAGGAGGAGGAGGAGGAGGAGGAGGAGGCGGAGGAGGAGGAGGAGGAGAGGCCGGGGGATTGTGGGGGTCCTCGTCGTTTTCATATGGTTTTTATCGAGTGAAGCGCTCCTCCGCCCCTCTTTTCTGAATGAATATTTGGTGTTTTTTTCTGCTTTATCATGCTATTTTCAAATTCTAGCATGGGGATGGGGAGGGATGTCAATGCTAATGCTAATTCCAATGCCAATGCTAATGCTAATGCTAATGCCAATGCTAATGCCAATGCCAATGCTAATGCGAATGGTAATGCCAATGCCATTGCTAATGCCAGTGCTAATGCCAATGCTAATGCGAATGCGAATGCGCATGCTAACGCTCATTCCAGTGCCGATGCCAATACTAACGCAAATGCTAATGCCAATGCTAATGCTAATGCCAGTGATAATGCAAATGCTAATGCTAATGCTAATGCAAACGCCCATACTAATGCCAATGCTAATGCTAATGCTAATGCCAATGCGAACGCTAATGCGAATGAGAATGGTGATGCCAATGCTAATGCCAATCCTAATGCCCATGCCAATGCCAATGCTAGTGCAAATGCCAATGCGAGTGCTAATGACAATGCCAATGCCAATGCTAATGCTGATGCTAATGCTAATGCTAATGCCAATGCTAATGCCAACGCCAATTCTAATGCTAATGCCAATGCCACTGCTAATGATAATGCCAATGCTAATGATAATCCCAACGATAATGCCAATGCTAATGCTAATGGCAATGCTAATGATCATGCTAATGCTAATGCCAATGCTACTAACAATGCCAATGCCAATGCTAATGCTGATGCTAATGCTGATGCTAATGCTAATGGCAATGCCACTGCCAATGCGACTGATAATGCTAATGCTACTGCGACTGCTAATGCGAATGCTAATGCGAGTGAGAATGCTAACGCGAATGCTAATGCTAATGCTAATGCCAATGCTAATGCTGATGCTGATTCTGTTGCTCGTGATAATGCGAATGCGAATGCGAACGCGAACGCTAATGCTAATGCTGATGATAGTGCCAATGCTAGTGATAATGTCAACGATAATGCCAATACGGATGCTAATGCCAATGCTAATGCTAATGCCAATGCTACTGCCAATGCCAATGGTAATGCTGATGCTAATGCTGATGCTAATGATAATGCCAATGCTACTGTAAATGCCACTGATAATACTAATGCTACGGCGACTGCTAATGCTAATGCTAATGCGAGTGAGAATGCTAACGCGAATGCTAATGCGAATGCGAATACCAATGCTAATGCTGATGATAATGCCATTGCTCGTGCTAATGCGAATGCGAATGCGAACGCTAACGCTAATGCTAATGATAAGGTCGCCCCACCTCAATACCTTCCCTTTGGTGGGTTCTGATCATACATGTTCTCCCGTCCCCCCACATCTCTTCACCCCCCATGCACTTTCTTCGTTCTCTCTCTTTCTTTATGTGCGCTCTTCTGGAAGCCTCTCGGGGACTCCCAATTGCGGGTCGGTGACGGGTTCACGTCGGATCGACGTCGGACCGACGTGTTGCATCGATTCAGCCCGTAATGTGAGTTTGCGAGCGCGCCTGCGCACAACACTTCGACACGCCAGGGGGCGACGCGTTTGCAGGGCAATCGTGCCCACCTGCCAGCTGCAAGTTCCGCCAACGTGCCTGGGTTGAGGCCTCTTGGATGTTCATTGGGATATCGTTTATCATGGGAGGTCTCTCGGGGGAATGTTTGGGGCACCCCCCAGGTTTCTCGAGGGCCTCTTGGAGGCCAGCTCGTGGCTTCTCGGTGCCTCGCGGGGCTTCTTGGGGGCTTCCTCGGGGCTTTTTGGGAGCCCCCAGGCGCCCAGGCGAGAGCCCCATTTTGAAAACGGCCCGCTCCCGATTCGTGTTATCGTTGCAAACTTTTAAGACGAATGTCCGCTGCGCGTAGGCGAGAGCTCCATTTTGAACACCGCCCGCCCTCGATCCTCGCAGTTGTTGCACAATGTTCAGGTTCATGATTATAAGTGGCGAGGCGAGCTCGGGCGAAGCGCCCGGCCCTCCGTAAACGCGCGTCTGGTGGCGCGACAGCGGAAACTATTTACAGTGAGAGGAGATGGTGGAGGGGGAGGAGGAGGAGGAGGAGGACGACGAGGAGCAGGAGAAGGAGCATGAGCAGGAGAAGGAGGAGGGGGAGGAGGAGGACGAGGTCGAGGACGAGGACGAGGGCGGGGAGGAAGAGGAGGACGAGGAGCAGGAGGAGGAGGAGGACGACGGTGACGGCGACTACGACGGCGGCGACGACGACGGCGGCGCTGCGGCGGCCCTGGCTCTGGCGTCCCGCCGCCGCCGCCGCCGCGACTGCCGCCGCGACTGCCGCCGCCGCCGCCGCCGCCGCCGCCGTCGTCGTCGTCGTCGTCGTCGTCGTCGTCGTCGTCGTCGTCGTCGTCGTGATCGTCGTCGTCGTGGTCGTCGTCGTCGTCGTCGGGCGGCCGTCTCGGCGGCTGGGCGAGCTTCGAGGATTGAGGTTTTGGGCTCGGGATTATTCTTGCAATTATCGTTGCTCCGTAGGGTGCTCATCGTCGCCGCGGCCGGGCTCGTGCAAATCTGTCGCTCGGGGATCCCAGGGTGAGTTTCCGTGCTCCAGGCGTCGGGCCTCGGGGAGGGGCCCAGGGCGCCCGCAGGGGTTGCCAGCGGAGGGTGCGTCAGATCC